ATCACCCATTATTTGTAAAATTATTCCAAATGACTAGATAAATGATTCAATTATCTCATCTGATAAAAAATTCACCCCTAACTCCAACTAAAGATATGCAAGCTAAATAATATTTGTTAAGCTTATAGGTAGTATAAAAATTATCACATCTCCAAAGCTGTTATAATCTATTCTCCCCAACCCATCAACCTAAAAAAAATTAACAATCTATCATCTTCATCAGTTTAGACATCACATGTAAATATGTTGTCATCAACTAGTCGATCTTTAAATAGTTCAATTAGCGAATTGGTATCCCCATACTCATTCTTCACTCTTTTCTCTTTTTGAATGTAGTTATATGCATCTCACTTAAAGAATCCAATATTTTCAAAACCTCTCTTTGGTGAACTTACCTCGAGACAAGCCTTGAATCCGATGATATTCAGGTGCGAGCTTGTTGGAGCAACCGTGTGGAACCCCCTCCACACTCCCTTGAGTCCCCCCTCATAGGATCTTCTCCCTCTCTCAAACTCCACCCTTTCCTCACTCCCTTTCAAGCTCTATCTTCAAGTTTCCCCCAAAAGAACGAAGTTACAATGGCTGTCAAAGACACTTTACAAAGTGCCTTGATATCTCTTAAATAGAAGGGCTCAAAACGAGCTCATTAATGCAAGTTGCCGACATAATAGTCCAGGATGATAGGCATATCATCCTGTATGATCAGTACAAATTCAGCTCATTCACCCGAGATGATTTGGGACGATCAGAAGAAAATTGGTTACATCATCCTGGCCGATCTCACGATCGTCCCGGATTATTAGTTTAAAATCGATTTCAATTGTCCTGATCATCGTCTGTAATCAATGCTACCCGATGTAAATCGTCTAGGACAACGCACCGGCCGATCCTACGATCATCCCGGACGATGTGATCGTATCAATCAGCCATTAATGCTTTCCAAAGATACTAGATCAAATTAGGCATAATTGAGTTAGATCGTCCTGGACGATATGTATATCATCATGGCCGATTTCCTAAAATAAAGAATACCTAATCTGATTATGGCGGTTGATTGTTTCTGAATTGAGCCTATCGTCCTAGCTGATACAGGTATCGTCCAGGCCGATTAACATATAACGGGTGCCTTAATGAGGATGCCCTAATTAGGGTTTCTACTTTTGAATTGATCGTCCAGGATGATATAAAATCATCCCGGACGATGTTACCAAAAACAGTAAACTCTAGGGAATAGTCAGAAAATCTTTCAAGTTACAAATCATCAGGAGCCACACCAAATACAATAGACTCAAGAAAGAAAAAAGTGAACAAACTGACTCAGATCTAGTCTACCCAATCTTTAGCTGGTTCCAAATTGCAGTCCGATCGTGTGAATCTGAAATGTTAGTAGATAAGGCAGTTGTAGAGAAATAAGAATTGTTTGCTATTATCAAAATCATAAACCATAGATCCGCAACAATTTAATCCCATGTCTCCTAGGCTAGGGTTTGTGATTTCACCTTTGTTAATGGACGGTTTGACCCGTTTAATAGCTTGTTACACTTATAGTATGTATATACAACATTTTGTAGAAGAAATCATATTTTGAAAAGTCATGGATTAACGGGAAATCTCCTTGGAACGATTTGGCCTTCGGTTCACCGGAAAGCTCGCCTCCAGTGGGGGTTTGGCAGTGGATTTGAGTGGAAGAATGTAAAGGAGATTTATGGGAGCTCACACACGAGAGTTATCAGGTTAGGAGGCTGTAGGGTGAAAGAAAAAGCAAGAAAGGATTCTAAGAATCCTAAAGGAGGTATTTAGGGGATTAGAATCATGATTAACGGCCTAGATCTAATCTAAGGTCAATTATGAGGGAATTATATTTGATTATTATGAGATTTGATAGAATTGAGCATTTGGAAAGGATTTAAATGAATTTAATGGCTTTAATTTGGCATAAAGAGGTCAAATTGACCTATTTAAGACTTAGGTTTGAGCTCAAGATGAATTTGAATTGGATTAGAACTTGAATAGACCCATTTAGGCAAATTGGGTCAACCTCAGTTAACCTGGTTAACCAGGTTTACCAAGGGCATGGGTCTAGGCCCAATAGGTTGGGTCTGACCTATTATGTCCAAGGGAGGTAAGATCCGGGCTTGAGAAGCCCTGTAATGGATTTGAAATCAAGTAAAGGAGATTTGGGTCAAATTGGGTCAACCCAGATTGACCAGGTCAACCAGGCTGGCCTGGGGTCTGGGACTGGGCTTATCAGACTTAGTTTGACCCACTAAATTGAATGGGAGGGGTCTTGGGGTCTGGCCTGGTGAATTTGACCAGATCAACCCCTTCAACTAAGGGTTTGGAGAAAAACAACGTCAACAACCTATAAAAAAGGCCTATGACTTTATTATTGTTATTGAAGCACCACACCTTGAATGGAGCCTTTTTAGTGATGTGTCATTAGTACAGCCTATTGTGTGTTTAAGGTAATGTAATTTCTATTTCCCTAACCATTGTCTGGTCCTAATCAGTAAATATTATTATGGGAGTTTTATCACCCATCATTTGTAAAATTATTCCAAATAACTAGATAAATGATTCAATTATCTCATCTGAAAAAAAATTCATCCCTAACTCCAACTAAAGATATGCAAGCTAAATAATATTTGTTAAGCTTATAGGTAGTATAAAAATTATCACATCTCCAAAGCTGTTATAATCTATTCTCCCCAACCCATCAACCTAAAAAAAATTAACAATCTATCATCTTCATCAGTTTAGACATCACATGTAAATATGTTGTCATCAACTAGTCGATCTTTAAATAGTTCAATTAGCGAATTGGTATCCCCATACTCATTCTTCACTCTTTTCTCTTTTTGAATGTAGTTATATGCATCTCACTTAAAGAATCCAATATTTTCAAAACCTCCAACTTCATCGGCTAGGTAGGTAAATGCATTAATTAGTCTTATCCTGACTTCTATCATTGATTTAAGAACTGATGCTTTCTCATCACTAATATTTCAACATGATCTAAGTAGAAGTTGATCTTTCAGCCTATCTAATTCATGATTATGGCTCTCAGTGCATTCTTGCACCGTCCAAACTCCATCTTCATCAACTAAAAAATCTAATCATAGAGGGACACCCCTTCTTGTATTTGATTTTCATTATTTTGATTGGGAATTTAAGTTAATACCTTTCTTAAATCCAGCTTTCGAACAGACAAAGTTCTTGCATCTTATTTTTCTCGAATTAGCCTAGTAACTATGATGCTCTTTATGAATATTAAAACTAAAATTATGAGCATAATGACAATACATTCATATGCTTCTTCTCATAGTTATAAACACCAGGTGCACAAGAGAAACTTATTTAAAATTCAGATATAAAAATGATAATACATAAAAAATACAGCAATACACAGAGGTACATAGTAGTGGTAAACAACAGCAACACACAGCAGTACACAGTAGTGGTGCATAAAAGAGGTAATACACAATAATAATACATAGCAAATTATATTTTTATCTTGACTTGCACACATAATACAAACTTACATCTAAGGATGTGCAGAGGAATATAAATTCGGAGGAGCAAAAAATATTTGAATGATACACCCTAACCCATTAAAAACCCTACATTTTGAAATGAAAATTATATAAACCTCTTCGGAGTTTTGAATTTACCAATAATATCCTCGATTTATCTCTCATAGTTTGCTACGATAAGTCTTCCTGGACATTTTGTGTAACGCCTTCCATCTCCTCGCAGAATTGGACTTCCTCCAAACCAATGTCCATTTTCATAATCTCTCTCTTTTTTTCTTTATTAGCTTTATTATGATGAGAAATCTTGTCTCAGGTGGCGAAAATAGTCCTCTAATATCCTAAACCTAAAATATTGGCACATTTCTTTTCAATTTTCATGTCTGGTCCAGGCCGCGTCGTCGGGTCGCATAGTAAGTTGAAAAAGACAGACAAATAATATAACTTCATTGAGTGCGGGTCATCAGGTTGTCGGGCCGCCATGTGGCGGCATTGTATTGGAGTCCGGACATAGAGCTACTTCCGGACTCCGCACAAAATAATTTCCCCAACATAGGAGCAAAGCCAGTGTGTGGGATCACATCATGTCTGCCTTGAAGCCCATCAAAACACTTTTAAGGAACCCATCCACAACTATCCCAAAAAGCTCAACTTATCATTTTAGTTCCATCTAAACATTATATGTCTGCATTAAATGAATGAACAGAATTTAATAGGGCAAAGAGTGTCCTACAACAAGCAATGATGCCTTTATGGCTTTATGGCACTCAAATTCAATTCGGTCTTTACTATTGCAAGAGGTCAATACCACTTTATCTATGAAAGAGCATTTACTCACTTTCCAAGATAAAAAATTGACCATTCCATTAAAGAATAAAGGCCCATTTGATTTGAAAAAAAAAAAAAGAAAAGCCAAATGAAATGTAATGTAAAAAAATACAATATATTAAAAATATTTAAAATTATTTGGATGATTATAAAATAAATGTAAATGTAAATTATTATTATTTGGCATGAAGTAAAATAAATGCAAAATAAATTTCAACAATGATAGTGGTCGGTTGCCGCTGATGACGATTGTGGCCAGCGGTTGATAGCAAGCGATCGCAGGCATTGGCCACAGGTGACGACCAATGGCCAATAGCAGCGAAAGTAGGGTACAAACAATGGCGAGTGACTAGTGGAATCAATGATAGAGAATTTACACTATATTTGAAAATATGTCCGATTTAACGATTTTCAAATATATTAAAATTGGACTAGATGGTGAACTCTAAATACTTCAAATTTTTACTCAAATTTCATTTACTTCAAATCAAATACTAATATTTTCAAAGCTCTTACATGTGAAACACTCTCTCTCTTTTACTTCAACCCAGAAAACCCCTAAATCCAATAATAATAAATAAACACCAAATTTTGTGAACCACATGTGCAAAAGATATCCCGAAGTCCAACAAACCGGACTTTTCGAAGTTCCAAGTGGCAAAAGAGTTGGGTCTACTCCATCAAGCTTACGCCTAATGGTCACAAATTTCAAACACAAATAAATATTGCGTTCAAATCTTACAAGTTTCAGCTGTTTGCATACGACAAAGCGAATGTGAAAGAAGACACAGAGCGTTCATTTGTAACCTTCACCACTCAATCCGAAGCTCTTTTAGAAAATCCACCACCACCAGACACCGACATCACCGGAAAAAAATATGCAAAAACTCTATGGGGAGGGGTTAAATGATCATTTATCATGGCAGATCACCAGCAAGACGAAGAGTGGCGGCAGCGAGTGGGAGATAGAGGAGGTGGTCGAGGAGATTCAAGCCTCCACAGGTGCGCCCAGAAACTCTCTGAGCTTGTTGGCGGCGGCGGCAGTCGACGGCGATGAGATTTATGTGGCTGTGGGAAAGAACAGCTCAAGCATGGAAGCCTTGTCCTGGGCTCTGAAGCATGTTGCAAAGCCTTCAAGTATTGTCTACCTCATACATGTCTTCCCTGAGGTGCTTAGTATTCCAACTCCATGTAAGTCTTTGCCGATGAACTCTTCTGCTTTCTTCCCCTTCTTCAATCTAATCATTTAGCAAAAGAACTATACAAATTATTATTTTTTTAAAGAAAAGTCATAAATTCAGAGTATAAAACTATAAAATTGGTGTTCTGAAGAAGATCATTCAGTCAATGTTCTTCGAAGTTAATGATTTATGAGGTTTATGCTTGATAGAAGGAGCTAAAAATATGAGTAAATTCACGTTTAATTCAAAAACTTATGCACTAAAAAGCTGCTATAGAAAGCAATAAAAAAAGTCATTCTAAATGAAACTTAAATTGATCATAAACAAATAATCTAACAACTATTTTGAAATTTTTATGATTTTCTTATTGTATGTTAAGTCTGTCAATTAGATCCTATTCATTATTAAAATATAATTTGATGAAATAAGTCTTTTGTTCTAATTCAACTCTGAATTGGAATATTGGATATTCCAAATGCCAATTCAAATTCTGAAGTAATTTACTAATAAACAATTAACTTAAGAGTTTGGCAAGCTTTAGATGAGGTTCCATGGTTTTGCTTCGAAGTTCCTGCATCGTTGTCTTGGCTTTTGTGCTGTTTAATAATCTGGTCTATTTTTACAATTTAAAAAAAGACTTTTCTCTTGAAGCTTCACAAAGGAATCTTTGAACATTAAACTAAGTAGGAAGGAGACGACCTTGCAAGTTCTGCTGAAATAGACAGTGAAAGTGATGGGGGATAGACAACGGAAATTCTTATTTATTCAAAAGAGTTGATTATCTATTATATTTAGGGGTTGTTTGGTTTGAATTAAAAGTGATGTAAAATATTCTAAATATAGGGGTTTTAAGAATATTGATGTTTGATTTGAAGTAAATTAAATGAAGTATAAAATTTTGGTGTTATAGGAATTCACCATGCATCTAGTTCAATTTTGGTGTATCTGTAATTCCTCATATTTGAGAGATTTTCAAATATTTCAGAACTTCATTGCATACTACCATCCAGCACCACCTCTGATCACGCCTCCCGCCGCCACTGTCATTGCCGCCCGCCATTGTCACCGTAGCCGACCGTTGCCGACGCGACAAACTAATATTTTTACATAGATCATTTCATTACAACTTTCATTTTCAACAACATACACCTTAATAAACAAATATGTACTTTATATAATAATTTAATATATATATATAATATATAATAAATATTATATATATATTAAAAATTTGTTCTTTACATCCACTTTTTGTTATATATATATTACGATAGTAACCAAATTTGTTATTCTAGAACTTCGAGAAATAGAGTTGAGTGTAATTTTAGAAAATACACAAGAGAGGCATCATGATGTTATCATAAATAGGTCATGCAATTAAACCAGTTGGTTAAAAGATTGATCTCTCGGGTCAGATTAGATCGGATTTAGACTATTTTTTTGCTATATATGTATTCTTTAGCAATAAAATAACGAGTCCTTACCCCCCGCCCCCCCCAACTCATTTTTTTTAATTTCCAATTATCATCTGTTAGTGAGGTTCCTAGTATCATTCACAAATAAATTTGGATTCAACGTGTAATATTAACTATCTGTAATTAATAAGGATAATAAGTGTAGTTAATTCAAATAATTATTGATACGTTACAAAAAAATTGCCTTGATCAAGCATGAATCTCAAGGTATATTTGAATTGAAAACTTTTAATATTTCATACAGAACCATTTGAACTCCGTTTTCAGCAAACTTATAGTAAAACTAGAATTCTTGATGAGACAAATCGAACGACATCAAAATGGGTTTATTTTGAGGTCAAATGGGCCCAAATCAATTACTTTATATATAATTAGCAATTTTTTAATAATATTTATTGGATGATCAAATGATATCGAAATATGACATGCTTATAATCTAATATAGCAGTTTGATGAAAACAATCAACAAGCACAAGGTTGCTTAATTTTGATATCATTAAGTCACATAAATGCTTGAAGAAAGCTCTATAATCGAGTCCTCGAAGGAATTAATATAGGCTATCTGATGGAGCATTTCAAATTTTCCTTTGATCCTCTCCATGTTTATGAGCATATCAATTTCAAAATCTATAAATATAGACCCACACTCTCTTCACGAAGGGAGCTTTTAGGAGGGGGTTGGGCTTAGACCTTGGGGTGGAGATTCAAAAGAACTTTGAAGCTTGAAGAATATCTAATCTCCACCTGAGCACCACTATTGGTGAAACATTATCGTCATCGATCTCAGACCACCGTCACCCAACTACAATCCACAGACCACCATTGCCTAACTATGATCCTTCCAACCTCGATCACCCTCCAACTATAGTCACTAGACCACCATTGCCTCATTGTGGTTCTTCTAAGCTCAGTTAGACACCGGCCATGGTCCTTAGAATAACATTATTCAACTACAACTCTCAGACTACCACTTGTGACTGATCCCTTTGGTCTCGGTAGCCCGACTATAATTCCATCGACCATGGTCACCTGATTATAGTCGCTTCGACCTCCGTCTCCTAATTACTAGCCTTCTAACCTCAATTACCTGAAGAGTACGATCATTGCAATTTTTGTGATCTGTCGACTACAATCCTTGGACCGCCATCACCCAACTGTGATTCTTGTGACCCATGTCGCTCGTGAACTACGGCCCTCGGGCCATCATTGCCCAACTATTATCCTTTCGACCACAGTTGCCCACTGATTATGGTCCTCAGACCACCATCGCTCGACCATAGTCCTTTTGACCTTTGTTACACATCAACTATAGTCCTTTCAACCTTAGTTACTTAATAGCTATTCATTTAGACCTTTGTAACCTCCCTACTATGATCCTCAAACCACCATCACTTGAATATAGTCCTCAGACCATCATTACTAGACTACGGTCCTTCCGACCATCATCGCCCGACTATGGTCCACTTGAAGATGAGCCTTCCAATCTTAGTCCCTCGCCAACTATGGCCCTTGGAGCATAGTTTCCCGACTACGGCCCCTCCAACATCCATCATTCGTAATATATAGTCCTTCCAACCTCATCGCCCGATTATGGATCCTTCGACCACCATCACTTGATTATGGTCCCTCATACTACCGTCACCCAATTACGATCCCTCTAATCTTAGTCACCAAACTACAGTCTCTCCAACCCCACCATTGCTCGATTACAGTCCCTTTGATCTCAATCACCTGACTATGGTTCCTCTGACCTCAATCACATGCCTAATTATAGTCCATCTGACCTCAATCACCCAACTATGGTTCCTCCGACCTCAATCACATTACTACAATCCCTCTAACTTATATTGCTAGATTACGGTCCCACAGACCTTAGTTGCCCGATTATGACCCTTCAACCTCAATCACCTGACTATGGTCCTTTGACCATCATCGCCCCACTATGGTCTTGTTGACCAATCAAATATGTCATCAATCTTTAAAGAACAATTATGTTGTCATTAGATTCTTTCAACTCTAACTATATAATGTACTCAATATGATGTATATTTGCTATATCATGCAAACACTTTCCCCCGAGGAAGGGCATTATTTGTAATCAACAACAAATACTAGTTAACTCATTTTAATTGTGTCAGGCCCTGTGATTTTTCTCTTTCATGAGTTTTCTACGTTAAAATTTGATGTCACTTATGATTGTTGTACCCCTCCCTCATATCTATGTGTGTTACATCTTTTTTTAGAGTTAAGACATCAAGTTCATCACAACAATTACTAATTGTTTTGACTACTTAATTTTGTGAATCATTAATATAAATTTTAATAGCTAAATAAGCATAAATAATTTATAATCATTTAAGATGTAGTTTTCTTAATTAATGCAGAATTATAGCTAGGCCAAGTAAATTTATTTTTATTTTTAATTTAATTAGACCAGTTAAGCTAATTAATGATAGTTATCATATTCAAACATTATTTAGATAATTTAAAGCATAATTTGACCAAATTAAATGTTATTATTAAATAATTACTGATTGCCCATGCTGGTTTATTAATTAACTAATTTGTACGTAATTATATTACTAAATATTAATAATTTATAATTTATTCATATAAACTATAATTAACCTTCTTATAGCATACACTTAACTTAAATTAATAGAAGTATTATTAAATAGTTACTAATCATTTTTTTTGTTAATCAACTAGTTAATTAATTACTTAAATTCTTTTTATTTGGCAAATTTATGTTCAATTAATCAAAAATAGTAATTAACCTAATTAAAATATCATATGCCTAAAATTTGATTATAATCATTAATACATGCTAATTATTTTGATTAAGTAATTCATAAATTATATAATATATCTTAAGCTATTTAATTTCCAATATTTAAGTTATTAATTTTTTTTACTTAATATATTTAAGTTTAATAAATTAGTAATAGAGTTATAGTAGGGCTTGTCAAAATCGAGTCACGGGCCGAGTTCGGGTCGAATTCGGAACTGACCCAACTCTAGTTGACTTAACTCGAACCCAACCTGTTTTTACATACAGGTAATGTTTTTCAACTTGGACGTGACCAGCACGGGTTGCCGGGTTGACTCGATCTGACCCTTCGAGTGAGGTGTCAGTTACTTGGCAAGTCGACGGTGACGATGCTTGCGGGACTCAATGCGGCGGCGGGAACTCGGGATGGGATGGGCCCTCAACACGATGGTGACGCGAGCAGAGACAGTCAATGTGGGCACTCAGTGTGACGACGGGCAAACTCAATTAGTGTGGACGTGACAATGGGCAGATCGATGTAAAATTCTTTCATAATTTTTTTTAATTGTGCAAAATCATAAAAATAATTAAATAAATAAATCTTGATGGAGATTTTGAAGTCAACAAGGCATGGATAAAATATAGCTTTTCTGGAAATTAAGCAATGTATGTCAAGTAGGATATCAGATCCATCGATGCTTAGCTTGGTTGGTTGGCGAGTACGGTTGGGAACCCCCCAACCAGTGCTCGATTCCCTCGGGCGGC